AGCTGATTGGAAAAAAATATTCAAGTTTCAAAAAAGAATTGTTCGCATTATGACATTTTCGCGGCCATGAGTCTTATGCAAGCCAATCTTTAAACAGTTAGGATTATTGAGCCTTCCCTCTCTCTATATATATTCATGCTTACTGTTCATTCAGAAGAATTTTGATCTTCTTTGTGGACAGCAGCGCATACAACACAAGGTGCAAAGACAACTTTCAATACCGAATACATAACTTAACAATCTATGAATAGGGCCCTAGTTACATGGGTATGAAGTTCTTTAATAATCTACCAACAAACATTAAAAGCCAAATCCGTTTAAAGAGTTTTAAGAATATTTTAAAAAGTTATCTTTTAAACCAAGTATTTTACTCTGCAAGTGACGTTTTACAAAATTAATGCAGCATTGTTGTATTTAATTGTTGTTTTAGAGTCAGACAAAAATGTTCTGTAACTTAATAGTATTTTTAGGTTTAATAGTTAATAGTTTGCCAGTTTCGAGTCAGTTTGGTTTAAAATTGTAAAAAATCAATATTTGTTCAAATGTAACTTGCGTTTACATAAAATGATGGATAATTTGTATTACTGTAGATTCTACAGTAATACAAATGTAGAAATAAGCAAGAGGTAGTTGTCCTAATCTATTTTTATAGCTGTCACAACCAATAGGTCAACTCAAAGCAGTCACCGGTGACTGACTGGCAATGGTATACTGACTTCACACAGAATAGAATGACATGATCGGTAGTGATTTTATTTTAAAGTAGGCCTACTGTTTCATAATAGAAATTACACTACTGAACTGTTACGTAAGCAATAAATTTATATTTTAAAAAGCCAGAATAGAAACACTATAAAGGCCAAACAATAGAAGGGAGGGAGGGGTTGTGCAATGACCTCGAAATGAGCGGCATAGCAACAGTGAAGTGATTTAATAGTGAGTAGGTGGTTGGGGGGGAAGGGAAGGGGACCTTTGAGCTATATTTAGACTAGACTTTCACCACTTCCCAAATGGCTGGGTAGGGGGATTACAATAGCAGGTTTTTTCCTTGCCTGGTTTGACCTTTGTCTTTTTGTGTAGGAGATTTGAATAATCAAAAATATAATTTGAATTGACCACAATTATTTAGCATTGATAATACAATTTGCAAGGGACCAGGAGAAATATTATTCGAATTAGAGTTAATGCCATGATTTGCATTTTTATGTCAACATACAACATTGCGCAATCATGATGTTTTGGGTCATTGACCTTTATTACTAATATCCAATATTAATATTGGATATTAATTGGATATTAGTTATAAACCAGTTCAGGAGCAATTCCACATCTTATGAAGCTTTAAAGCTTTACAACACACTGAAGAGAGATGCAGAAAATGAGGATGAAACAGTCTTAAGTATCTTAAAAACGTTGGAAAAACACTGTATTCCTAAAAAGAATGAGACTATGGCAATACATCGTTTCTTAACTCGTAAACAGAGAGATGGGGAAAGTTTTGATAAATATTTGATTGATTTAAAGTCACTTGTAAGCCCTTGCGAATTTAAGGATCAAGAAGATAAACTCCTACGGTCCCAAATCATATCTGGAATTTCCTCTGCGAGCGTTAAAGAACGCCTTCTAAGAGACAATGTTCCTCTAGAAAAAGTAATTGATTACTGCAGATGCGTAGAAACAGCAGAAGAAAACTTGAAGCAATTGATGAAAAATGATCAGCCAACCTATATTGATGACGTTACTATTAACAAGACTCAAAAATCACAGACTAATAAGCAAAATTACAGCCAAGCTACAAATGGTAATTCCTCAATGATCAGGCCTAGAGCTTATGATAATGAGGGTGCAAGATGTTCAAGATGTGGATATTTTCACAAAGGCCAACCTTGTCCTGCACAAAATAAAGTATGCTTAAAATGTCAAAAACCCAATCACTTTGCTAAAGTATGCAAGACAAAAATTTTCAATGGCCATGAATTAGAATCTACTGCTCGAATTGATGAAACACAGTCAGAGTGGATGCTTAACGATGAAGTCGATGAGACTATGTTTTAATCCCAACTCTTGATGAAATAACCACTAAGTTGGCTAAGAAAAAATACTTCTGTGTGTTTGATTTGAAGGATGGGTTCCATCAGGTTCCCTTGGATCCAGAATCTTCAAAACTGTGTACATTTAGCACTCCGTTTGGCACTTATCGTTATTTACGAGCACCATTTGGTCTCTCAGTTCTTCCAGAGTACTTTCATGAAACGACATCAAAGTTTTTGAGTGACGTTAAGGGGGTTGTAGTGTACTTTGACGATATACTGTGTGCAGCAGAAACAAAAGAAGAGTTGTACAAAATTGTACTTGAAGTTATCAATGTGGCAAGGAAAAACCACATTCAACTGAATAAGGATAAAATTCAATACTTTGTTGAAAAAGTTTGATTTTTAGGACAAGAATTCGATTTTAATGGTGTTAAGCCTGACTGTGAAAGAATCAGAGCTATCAATGAACTGGGAATACCTAAGAATAAGACAGAACTTCAACGAATTTTAGGCACTGTGAATTACCTTAGGCCTTTCATTCCTAACTTAGCAGAGCACTGCTCATTCTTTCAAGAGTTGTTGAAAAAGAATGTAGTTTTTCAGTGGACCCCCGAACACAGTTGTCATTTGGACAAACTGAAGGAAACTATTACAGCGGCTGCTTTACTTAGTCCCTTTGATTTTGACTCTCCAATAACTATTCAAGCAGATGCAAGTAACTATTCTCTTGGTTGTTCCTTGTCCCAAAATGGGAAGCCTGTTATGTTTGGATCCAGGTCACTTACTGAAAGTGAAAAGAACTACGCACAGATTGAGAAAGAGCTACTCGCAATTGTATATGCTTTTGAAAAGTTTCATAACTTAGCCTATGGACACTTCAGCATTGAAGTACAAACGGATCATTCTCCTTTGCTATCAATTTTCAATAAACAAATTCATCAAATAAAGAACAATCGTTTAAGAAGGTTGTGGCTGAAGTTACTTAAGTACTCATTCAATGTGAAGTTCGTTCCAGGAAATAAACTATATGTTGCAGATCTTCTATCAAGACAGTGTGCTCCTACAAAATCACAAGAAGATGAAAGTATGTTGGATGTTGTTCACTCAGTTCATGACATTACAATAAATGTAAAAACAATGGATCAGTATATAAAATCTACAAATGAAGACGAATCCTTATACAAAGTTATGCAGTTTTATCAAGAAGGTTGGCCCAGCAAAGTTTCGCCGAATAACCATGAACTAATGCATTATTTTAGAATACGAAATGACCTAACAGTTCAAGATGGACTAGTGTATTTTAACGAAAGGTTGATAGTGCCACCATCTATGCGAAGGTATACATTACAGACACTCCATGAAACTCACTTGGGATTCAACAAGTTAAAGAAGAAAGCTCAAGAACTTGTTTACTGGCCTGGATTAATTTCAGATTTGAAAAATCTTATTGACAGCTGTGCTACTTGCGCTAAGTTTATGCGAGCAAAATTGAAAGAGCCACTTCAACCTCATGAAGTTTTTGACATGCCTTTTTACAAGGTAGCTGCAGACATAGCCGATTTCGACAATCAAAGTTATTTAGTGTCAATAGGTTATTACTCAAGATGGATTGAAGTTGAGCGTATTCGAGATAAAAAAGCAACAACTGTCATTGCAGCATTGAAGCCAATTTTTGCTCGTTTTGGAATACCAAGTATTTTTGTAAGTGACAATGTCCCATTCAACTCTCAAGAATTCATTGACTTCAGTAAATTGTGGAAGTTTGAAGTAAAGTTTACTAGTCCCCATTATCCTCGCAGTAATGGACTCGCGGAGAAAGCAGTAGGCATAGTTAAGTCAATGTTGCAAAAGTCAAAGCATGAAAAGTCAGACTTTAGTTTATATCTTCTAAATTATCGGTCATCTCCAGTTGCGAATCTTAGGTATTCTCCTTCGCAACTACTTCAAAGTAGAGTTCTGAACACTAAGTTACCTGTAATACCATCAAAACTTAAACCACGGATTATTGATGATAAAGAAGTGACAAGCAAACTTGGCCAGGGTATGCAGTATAATAAAACAGCACTAAAGAAAACCAGTGATTTCATGAAGGGACAAAAAGTATTAATCAGGAATGTTTCCAACCTTCAGTGGGAAGAAGGGTTAATAGTTGATGTGCTGGGAAACAGATCATACATTGTTGAAGTAAATGGGAGAAAGTTGCGTCGTAATTCGTGGTATATTCGACCCTTCATTGAACGTACCAGAACAAGGATAGTCAAAGCTCCAAAAAAATTAGATTTGTGAAAAGGGGCATGTTTGGTTAAAAGTATTCCTTGATCTGCTTATAATCATATGTTATATTATGTCATCATTGTTATTGTTTACATTTGAATGTTTTACAAGTTGTACACAGATTCAGTTCAGTAATAAAGATACTTTTGTTAAATATAGAAATTATTAATTTCTATTAAACAGGAACTACCAAAGATAGTCCTGTACATGGACACAGATAGTCCTGTATATGGACACAGTTAGTCTTTGACGTTGCCTAACCATATTAATTATTTAAAAAAACCCGCCCTTGAAAAAATAAAAAAACGTATCTGTATTTGGATCTGATGATTCAGATCCGGTACCGAAATTTTCTTGGATCCGCCCATCACTAATATATATGAATTTCAACGGATGGTGTTTTTGGCTTCTAGGGACATCAAAATGAATCGGTCCCGGGTCTAGGTCTTACCATGAGACCTACTGTAATAACTTATTGCCTATGGGAAATTTGATAAAAGGTTGATATTACAAAGTAACAAAAACAGGGTTTGGACAGTTCCCTTACAAAATACACTTGAAAATGCCAATGATGATGAAAACCCCAATGCTTATAACCACACAGCTACCCAGCTTAACCATCATACTATTTACTATAGTAATTTTTTTCTGTATAACAAACTAGATATACTACAATCTAACAAATATACTTACTTTTAAATTATTTTCAACTGAGTTAATGAAGAGTGTAACCAAGTTATCAGGACCCAAGAACTTTAAATCAGGGCAGCTGCTTGTATCTTGTGGGTTCAATGTTACTAACATTGATACATTCTCACCTGCATACAAATGTCATTACTGTTCACATGATTTAATTTCACACTAGTGTACATGTTGCTCGAAATCGAGCAATTACAAAGAAGTAAAGTAGTTACAGTATTTAAAAACAAATAACTTATTTCAAAATGAATAAAAGTCATAATTTATGATGAGTTTAAAAGACTCAACTCATATATTACGTACCTAACAGTTCCATATAATCAACATTTCTAGTAAATATTTTACTATATTTATATTATATATATATTTTTTTGTAAATATTTTTTTTAGTAAATATTTTATAGTAATTATTTTATCATTTTTCAAAAGCTGATCTGGTTTTTTAGTGTATTCTACAAATCTTTCCCACTTATAGCCGCATTAGGTTGTCCATGTTGATCTTTGTCAATGATAATGTAGTCTGCATAGTACTACCCGTTGTCGCCTGTACGTTTACAAATTTCAGTCATTTTTTATAGCGATAACATTTTGTTTACATTACTTAAGAACTGTCTGATTTTGTGCATAACCTCTCTGTCATAATTTTATTTGCTTCAATTGGCATTACTTTTTTTTCTTTATTGTAACATAACAATTTTTTAATTGCAGCATAGCTAAAAAACAGGTGACATTGTCAAATTATGTAATAATAACATTAAAAAGTAAATATAAATATGAATAGCTAGAATTAAAGATAAATCTAATAATTATAAACCATCCACAATGTCTTAGAATAGAAATAAATTACAATAAAAGGAGATTAAGTGGAAAGTTAAAGATTAAAATAATTACAGAATCGAGCTGTCCATTAAAAATTCATTAATGCTGTAATAAGTTTTACCTAGTAAAAGGTTGGCAAGGCTGCTTTTAAAAGAATTAGTATTTATTAATATTTTTAATTTTGGGTCTAATTTATTAAAAAAAAAATTCCCCATGTGGGAAGGTGTTTTTTCAACAAGTTTGAGATTGTGTCTAGGATACTGAAAATTATTTTTGAATCTCGTATTATACGAATGCTCAAAGTTTCCGCTGCAAAATTGAGGGTAGTTGGATTGTACAGTTAGCAAGGTTTTATAAATAATCAAATTTGAAACTGACATTATATTTAACTGTTTATAAATTGGTTTACATGAAGCTTTCCATGGTGAAAAAGTTATGATTTGCAAAAACCTTTTTTGGACTTTGAAAATTCTATTTATATCTGTTGAGTAGCCCCAAAATTCAATACCATATTGAAGTATAGAGTAAAAATAAGCGTAATACATCATCACTGAAGTTTTTAAGTCTATTGTATCCCTTAAACATAAAATTTGGAAACAAGCAGAGTTGAGTTTGCCCAAAACATATTCAACACACCTATCCCACGCCAAATGCTTGTCAATGTACAGGCCTAAAAATTTAACATTTTCATCAGTTGAAAGCTGTGTTAAAGCATTTACATTTTGTCTATTCTGGGGTGTAAAAAATCTAACCAATTGAGTTTTATCTTGATTCATTATCAATCCATTTTTATCAAACCAGTTCCCTAGCTCATCAAGACACTCGGTAACTTTGAAAACTAATTCCTCATAATTTTTTGATCTGACAACTGCAGTAGTGTCATCTGCATACAGAATAAGACTATTGGAAACATTTTTAGGTAAATCATTTATGTATATAAGAAACAGAAGTGGCCCCAGAATGGACCCTTGAGGCACCCCGACTTTAATTTCCTCCCAATTAGATTTTATTTCTTGATTATTTTTAGTTATTTTTGTCCTTTGGAAGCGAGCATTTAAGTAGGATCCAAGCCAAGATATTGATTTAGTAGAAAATTTATAAAATGCTAATTTCTTTAGAAGAAGGTTGTGGTTAACACAATCAAATGCCTTAGACAAGTCACAGAACACACCCATTGTGCTCTGCAACCCATCCAAGGCCCATGCCACCTCATCGATGAACTCAGCTAAAGCATTCATTGTGCCAAGGCCTTTTCTAAAACCGAACTGTTTTTCAGAAAATATATTAAAAGCTTCCATAAAATTTGTGATTTGGTTACAAGCAATCTTTTCAAATACCTTGGAGAATGTAGGCAGGAGTGAAATTGGCCTGTAATTGTCTGGGTTATGTTTTTCTCCCTTTTTAAAAAGAGGTTTAAGCTCTGCAAATTTTAAATGATTTGGGAAAATATTGGTTTGAAAAGATTGATTTATGATAATTGAAAGAGGTTCAGCTATAGAATTAGAAACAGTTTTTATAATGTCAAGAGGAATTTCATCCCAGCCTGCTGATCTTTTATTACTGAAAGATTTAATAACTTGAATTACATCTGTCTTATTTATTGTTTGAAAATCAAACTTTTGATTTTGAGAATCGGCAATCAAATTTTGTGTAAGCCTTAATGCCTCACATTCAGTAGGAGATTAACCCGATTTCTTTTGAGATATTAACAAATTTAGTATTGCTAAATTCTGAAATATCGTTAGCATTGCTGAGTGTTTTATTGTTTACCTTAATGTCGGGGAAATCATAATCTGCCTTAACCAGACCCAGTTTAGATTTGATTACGGACCAAGCAGCCTTACTGTTGTTTTCAGATTCTCTAATGAATTTAGCATTACACAATTTTTTTGATCTATTACATATTTGCTTGAAAATGACCTTATACTTTTTAACATAATTAATAAAATCAACATCATTAGATGTTTTAGCTAGTTGACTCAACTGTCGTTTCCTTAGGCAAGATATTCTAATACCTTTGGTAACCCATGGTTTTTTTATGTCGAACTTTGTTATTGTAAAACTTGAGAGGGAAAGCCTCCTCAAATATGTTTTGAACATTTTGGAAAAAATGTACACAGTTTTCATCAAAGCAGTTTTTGGCATTTACATTCCATGTGGTCTCTCTCAATTTATCTACAAACTTGTTAATATTGTTCTCAGAGAATAGCCGTTTTTTACTTTAGAATTTTTTGTTTTGTTTGTTATTGTTATCAGAATTACTAAAAATATTTAGAAATATTGCCCTATGGTCAGAAAAACCTAACTCCATATTCATTGTTAAAACTGAGTTTTGTGACTTCATTTTATGTGTTAAGACATTGTCAATCAGGGCCGGTTCTAGGAATTTTCCAGAGTTAAGCGAACACCCGAATCAGCGCCACTTAGGATTCCCCCACAACCCCCCCCCCCCCACAAACCATAACCGTATTTGTGAATTTTTTCCCAATAATTTTGGGAAGAACTTGTTTATAAGTTTAGGTTAGAAAAATACTTGCAATAAAAGACTGTTTATTATTCGCAGAAATTTAACATTTTTACACTTTACTCATCATATAAACTTTAGCAAAACCAAGGCCACACTAAAAAAAACAGGCCGTAATCAAGGCCACACTAAAAAAAAACAGGCCGTAATTCTCGTCAATCATTACGTCACGATAGAAGACGGCAATGACGTAGTTAAGGTTATATTTTTGTTTTCCATGAAAAGATTAAAACAAGCAGCTGATCACAAACGGTAAACATTACGTCATTGCCGTCTTCTATCGTGACTTCTTTGGGCTGACTGGACTCGCCACCAAACAAAAATCTCGATTTAAACAAAAATCTACTCATTGATTTGGCTTGTTTTTTTATCTTCCTCTTCCAAATTCGCCTTACCCTTTTTATAATAAGTGCCAGACGTTTTCTTTTTTTCTGCCATTGTTTTCTTAGTATCGGCTCGCTAGATATTTTACTCATTTATTCAGTTTATACTTTCTTCTTATTTAATGCGCTAATTATAAATTAAACTTAAAACACTCGTAATCATTCACTTATCAACAATCATGAATCATCAAAGAACGCCATTACGATACCGATACACGCTAATACGCTAATACCCTAAAAGAGTGCAATACAACGTAATGCTCTGCTCTAGGATAAGAGTCAGAAGGGTGGGAAGGGAGGGGGAAGTTTCTTGTTGTGACAATTAGCGCTGCGCGCTTGCTTATCTCATCTCGAGCATGAGTGAGTCGTGAAATGAAACCCACAGGCGCCGCGCTGTGCGCTGCCGAGCGTCAGCTCACTACAAAATCGAAACTGCAAATGGCATTGAGTCCTTGAGTTGTACTGCTGTACAAATATACACATTTTTCAAGTGCTGTTGGTACAAACAGAATAAATGCCAAAATAAACAAAATTACGTTGTTCACGTAAAAATGCGGCCGCGTAGTTCGCGTATGGGTTAACCGGCCCTGTTGTCAATGCAAGACTTTGTAGATTTGGTGATTCTTGGGGGAGAAGTAAAATTGAGTATGAAACCGTACTGTTTCAACAAGGACATTAAGTCTAACCTTTGTTTGGGAAGGCAACAATCTTCTAATACATCTACATTAAAATCGCCTGCTATATATTTTTTGTTTTTGAAGATTTACAGAACATTTTAAGTAAACTTTCCATCTTATATAAAAACGATTTGGAATTTTCGAAATATGGAGTCCTATAAATTGAGATTACGATAACATCCAGAGTTACAATTTCGATACACGAGGCTTCAAAAACTGAATCTTTGTTTAGGACACATAACTCATCTCTTACAATATACTCTAAATTATATTTTAATAAAATACAGGAACCCCCATGAGTACCTGCATCCCTACAATAAAAATGAGCCAGATTGTAGTTAGGAATGCTATTTAATACTAACATATTATTCTTTTCAATCCAATGTTCATTCAAGCAAAGCACAGAAATATTTGAATTTTCCAAGATAATTTCCAAATCTTTTTTTTTTTTTTTTTTTTGCTTATAAAACCTCTTTCAATATTCAAGTGCATTAACCATAGAATATTTTCATTTTGTTTACAATCTGGCCATATCAAATTATTTCTTACACCTATTTCACAACTAATGTCAGACTTGCTAAAGAGTTTTTTTGTTGTTGGGAAGCTACTGAAGCAGCAGTAGTCTCTACCACTGTTGCCGGCGAGGATGTGGTTGGCTCAGGTGTTGAGTAGGGGTTGCCGACAATTATTTTGTCCGAGACACAAATAGAGGCTGT